CCCCCCCCCCCCCCAAAAAAAAAAAAGTCTGCTAATGAAATGTCTTGGATATTATCGGCATGGTTTTAATCTAGAGAAGTACAAACTCCAGAACAAATAGCTAGGCTCTTCCAGCAAGCCAGGTGGATCCATCCCTCCTCACTACCTCTTGTGTTAAAACCAAATCCCTCTTCCTATTTCTGTGTCCTCTCAATCCATCCACTTGAAACCGAGGTGAGATACTGAGATGTTAAGACAAGTCTTGTGAGTAATACGTACCAGAGCAGTAGACTTCTTATCCCTTAGGTAATTTTCTATGGCATCATTACTTGGGGCAAAGACTGTGTATGTATTTGCAGCCTCTATTTCATTTGCCAGGCTGTATTGCTGTTGTGAAACACATAAAACCAAATCAGAATAACCACTGATAGTCTAATACCAGTCCAAATGCGAACCAAGCAGAGAACCACTTCTAATCTTAAAACGATGTGAAAGCTTACAATAATGTAGCCCCTGAAAATGGAGTAATCGGGCATTTGCTCCAGGCGGGCCAGCAGCCTTGGCATGACGGTGCTGCGGAGTGGGGTCAGAACCTGAAAAGGGAGCAGATATCCCACGTCAGCGCATGTGCACAGGCTGTGGTTGCACCTGTAAGGATCAGATGCAGGACAAAATGCTGTTCTGTGCAAATACTTTTTTTTCCCCAAAACTGTTAATTATTTTCCACTGCTTGTTGTGCAGAGGAACAAATCCTCCCTATGTGGCTGTATACCTTATCAATAACGTGTATGATCCCATTTGTGGATGCAATGTCGCCAGCCACGATGTGAGCGCCCTCAAGGGTGACGTTCTGAAAGAGGGAGAGGAGAGAGGGTCTGCTTGGCACAATGGTGGTAGTTTCCCTTCGTTTCATGCTGTGAATTTCCACACCTTCCCAAATGCTTGCCTGGGGTCCACCACAGCTCTCCTCAGGTCGGTCCACACCAGAGGCTGGGTTACCCTCAGGGAACCCTGCGCAGGAGGGGTGTCTTTGGGACTCTGTGCTGTCCCCCCAACACAAACTGGCAAAACCATGGGGTTGCTTGCCCCGGGGTGGGTACTCGGGGTAGGTGCGTTCACCCCCACCCCATGCAGGATGAGTTCCTGTGCTGATTCATGCTCTCCCATTTCTATGCAGTTTTGAAGGACACCATTCATGATTTTTCCTTTGGGGCATGGAGGTAGGGGGAAGTTTTCCCTCCCTTAATGGAGATGAATTGCTTAAAATGTGCCATACCTATTTCCAGAAAATCCTCAGAACGTGGAGTACTAAATAACAAGGCTGAGGGGGAAGGGATGTCAGTTGTAGTTGCTAACCGTTAAAAATACCTTCAGGTGGTTTGGGACAATCAGGTTGCACATGTGGACACATGCACGACATCGCTGTTTCCTCCTACCTTCCCAGTTCCCTAAAATAAATTATTGGGTTTTCTTGATACTTTTTGTCTTAAATTAGTTCACACTAGCTGCTCCAGGCAGGGACTGTGCTTCTGCTTGACTACAAGACTGTCCAGCATTTTTAGCAGCTACTAGGACATTAGGATAAATAATATTGTGGACAAATTTCAGCTAGGTAAAGTGGTAGAGAAACTCAAGTTAATGTTTCTCCCAGAGGGCCCAATATAATTAATCCATTCCTTTAATTTATTTATTTATTTATTTTTTTAAAATTTTTTAAATACAGGTACATATCTGTGTGGATTTGTAATATGAGAAAGTGGCAGTGATGGTTAGGGTTTGGTATATGATACCACAGTGGTTTGCAGGTCATCTCACCCCATTTTCTTTAGACAAGTGTAGAAAGTTGCTCTGTAGAGATGTTGCCAGCATGTCAGATGATGATAAATTCTGGAAATCAGCAAAGCTGTAAGCTCCTGTCAATACGTGATACCTAAAGGAAATTAACTGGATTTGAAGGTTTTGTATTTTCTCTTTTTTTGTTCAGATAAATATGCTTAGTGTCTCTAAAACCGGTGTAAAGCAAGAATTGTTTGCACAGTACCTAGTTCAGCTATGTTCTGATCTTAGCTAGGCCTTTAAACATTTCTGACATAATACAATTAATGACTTTGTTTTCAGTGGAGTTGCTACAGAGATTCATACCACTGTAACTAGAAGGGGAATCTAATGTCCCTCCCTTAAAATTATAATAATTGTCTTGCTCTAGTGGCTTCAGACAAAGGCTTGTTTGGCATAAAAAGCAATTCATTAAAAAAAACAAAACCCCCAAACCATTAGCATACTTCAGTAGAGTTGGGATGTTACTCTTTGACATCCAAAAGGCTTTCTCATCTTCATCCATGTTTTCAATTGCTTGGAGAGAAGGAACGAGGACAGTTAGGTTTGAGGTGGTTGACAATACCGAGTTTATCTCAGCCTCCTGCATGAAAGTAAAGAGGGTAAAATAATTAATCCTAAGGATGATCTATAAATAGCAGCTGGTGACTTTTTAGCAAGGTGGAGTATGTGACGTGCTTTGTGACCAGCATGGAGAGGAAAAACTATTATACTGAGCAATGACTTGAACAGAAGTGCTTAGAGCTATACAAAAATTGTAAATGAGTGTCCATTTTATACAGGATAGATTGCCAGCATTTAAAGAGCAGAAGCAACATTTAGGTCAGAACTGGTTTTAAGTATGAAACACCTAAGTTGCCTCCCACAAAAATTAGTCTGTCTCATGGATTCTATTTTATGTATTTGAATGTTAAAAAAAATCATGGTGATAAATACTAGTGGTTACTGATAACTTCAAGTAACCTGATCTTACAGAGCACCCCACACTATTTAATAGATAGAAGGCTTGTAAACCATGAAATAAGAAACACACATAACACAATGTTCCCATTTGGAATAAGACTATTTAACATGACTGGGATTTTTCAAGATGTCCAAGGGATAGCTGAGCCACTAGCACTGCAGTGAAGCTTTCTGCTGACAGATCTAATTTTAGGTGGGGGAAGTGAGCTCTGTAGTGTACATGGACTGCTTCATCTTCCATATGTTTGTACCTGCCTTAAGAATGGAGAGAGCCTCCACTAAAGAAGATTTTTCCAGCTTTGTAGATTTTTTTTTTGTGGGGTAGAAAAAGGAGAGCTAAAGGTTTGAATGTGTTCTTGCTGAAAGAGTTCTCCAAACTTTTCATAGGCTCCACAACTTGCCATTTTTGGTACTGCAAAACTTGAGGGAGCAATATGATCTTGGGTTCTACCTTTTTGCAGCTGGTATGCTGCCTGAAAGCTGGCTTGCTTTTGATAGTCCTTCAATACCCATACTGGGTTTTAAGTCAAGAAGGGAATTGGCTCCCTTAAATAGCTGGGAATTTTGTCTCTCTTAAGATCATCTTTCTTTTTAGCCATCATTACTGTCACCTTCCAAATATTTAAATATAGAAATAGCAACAGACTTCCCTTTCTCATCCTTCCTGACCAGCAAGAAAAATACTTGGTTATGAAAAGTGGTAAACATCACATTCCTGCTCAATTATGAAGTTAAAAACTCCACAGATGGATATACCTCCCTGTTTTGCTCTTGTTTGTAGCTATCACTATTTAAGGGATACCATTTCTCTGAAGTGTCACAGAAATTTCCAGGTCCCTGTTTCAACAGATTATACAGAAACTGTTCCCTGATTTCTGACCACCCCCCCTGCGCCGCTTCTTTCATCATCTAAAGACCACTTTAGCAGATGAGCAGCCTTTCCTATTGTGCTCATTTCTTTAACTTCATTAGTTTCTCTGTACAGTGTCCAGCGCTGCAGCCTGAGCCCTGGGCCAGGCAGATAACTCATTTAAATTGGCCACACTGGCCTCTCTTTTCAGCAGGTCCCTGAGGTTCCTGTTCAGTTGCGTGCTTTAATGGTCCCTGAGCCATCTAACTTTGGAAAACATGAAAGCAACTAATACACTGTGACTTCTGCTTCTGATGCCCTTCATTAACATCTCCCTGTTCCTTTCTGTTTGCCATGTATTTGCTATATGTTGCTTATATTTAGGTTTTAAACTCTTTGTTGGAGAAACAGCATGATCTTTATTGATACAGTGCCAACCACAGTGGTGTAGGACCTCTAATGTTACTGCTGCCCTAGTTATAAGTGATAGCATGTGAAAATAAAAAGTAGACAGTGGCAATCAATCCAGAACATTTGGGTATTTTTTCCATCTAAATTGGTGTTTCTTCCCTAATCTGAAGCCAAACAAGCTAATCTGTTTCTTCATGTCCTGCACCTCAGTCAAGCTGGCACAGACTGTTTTTCCCTCGTTTGTCGTGGCAGCAGCAGACTGACCAGCCATACGGTTGCATTTTCCTGGCATGGTGCTCAGTGAAAATGGGAAGGGTAAGGCATTGCCTTCCCTCTTCACTTGCTTGTGGTTTTATCGCATAAGAGAAGTTGGAAGGAGCCACTTGGCATATTCAGGCTCTGCTTGAACCCCACTGCTTGTTGTCTGGACTAAAGTGCATCTATGTACAGAGCTAGTCATGGCTTATGTAGCCCCTTGCCTCAGAGGGTGGCTTGTAACTTGATCTTTTGCTTGTGGAGCTTCCTTACTTGCCTGAATTTGGGATCAGGCAGAAATAGGGAACCAGATGATTAGCCCTGCTGTGACTGACAGGAGAGGCACTCTGATGCCTCTCCAGAGCTTGGGCCTCTGCTGTGTGATGGGAGTATTGCTGTGAGTTTCCTGTTTCTAAAGGCTAAAAGGCTCATGTTTTTTTGCAAACTTAAACACACTATTAAAAAAAAAAAAAAGCGTACTTACATTAACCCATTGGTTAAATGCTGCTGCTTCTGATAGAGTAGATAACTCCTGATTAGAAACAGAAAGAGACAGCAATGAATATGTAAGCTATACTTAGCTGTACCAAAGTACTCTTGCTGTAGCCTCTGGTGTAACCTGCTGTGTCTGGCCTGGCTGATGTGATGTGAAAGAGGAGGTTCTCAGTGTGTGTGAAAAGGGAGGACATCTGTGGTTTTGTAGTACTGATACGTGCTGGTAATGGGAATATGGTGAGTTACCAAGTCTTTTGAAAATCAGGCCATCTATTTCTTAGGTGTATTAGGTGTACCTGACCTTGGAACGTAAGGTGTATAGGCTAAGCATTAATTTTCTGGGAATGTAAACCTAAATCTTTTCAGTGCAAAATTAATTGGAAAAAATGTATGTTGTTTTGCTTGGCATTTGTACAGCATCTTACACATCATCCTGCAAGGGGAGAGCCTTTATCCTGCCACAGAACTCTGAACAGAGATAGATGATGGTATGAGCAGGGACGGCAGATAGTGCTAAGAGCCATGTAAGATTGTTGCCAGTGGCTGGGGCAGCTGACACTCTCATTTTTCCTATGCTGTTAAATGCATATTTATTTCACCAATTTACTTGTTTTTATTTTATTTGCCTGCCAGTTAGCATGGTTTGTTTTAAGATGATAAATTGACCTTTTCCATTGAGATAGACCCCAAGGCAGAACTTCAGAAGAACTGGGTACTCGCTCCTCCCAGCTGGGAGGTGAGTGCTTAGCACTTTGGCGCATTAGGCCTCTAGGGCTGGCATTTTTCAATTTGTCTTAAGGAAATATGATCGGATCCCTTAGGCCCCTTTCCAAGCTGTGTTTTTAAACACAGCAGATCATTTTTTGTATTGGGCAAGAGTCTCCAGCAGGAATGCTGCAGATAGCACTGGTGGGCATCATATTTTTCTGTTTAAAATGGCTTTGCTAGCTCTCTGGTTAATATCCAATGTGAGAACTGTGCAGTAGATCTTGTGCTCGGAGAAGATGACCGTCTTACTTACAGCTGCAGCATTTCCATAGCATATTCTACCATCTCCTTCGTAGCCCTTTGGGCACACACACTCCCAGCCACGAGAAGACTCAAACTGACAAGTTGCCTTTGAACCAGAAAAAAAGAAAATTTGTCAAATATTCAGGAGACCACTCAAGAGCAAGGATAGCCTGTAAAGCCTCCTACTGAAACCCATTTGTATACAAACATAAATTTAACAAAGGATCTTTTTACTATCTTTCATGGATGTCCTCACCCTCCTACAGGACAAACCCCATGAGCTGAGGGTACTAACTCCCTCACCTGCCCACTGTGCACTAAGCCTACAGCAATCCAAGCCTTTGTTCCACACTTTCTTGTTTCCTCCCTATATAAACTGGGCTCTGTTCTTTCTCCCGACTATGGCAGATCCAACCTCTGCTCCCCAATGTGTTTTGCTTTATCTCTATCCCTGCCTGAGGCTGGCGTGGCTCTTGCAGGCACTACAGAGCACAGCAGAGCCTGCAGATCTGCTGAACACATGCAGCTACTGATAAAGCTGATAGATACCTGTGTAGAGATGCGTGATGTGGGTAAACATCCCAACAGGCTAGTGCATCCAAATGGTGCTGGTAGAGAAGAAGCATTTATTTATTCCAGGCTTGAGATACTCCTTCTGTACAGGCAGAATTGGGAACAGCCCTTGCAGTCTGTCCTCAGCACACGTACCATGCTGACGTGGTTTGCATAGCATTTTTGGTGCTTGTAGCACTGCTTGGAAAGCTTTGTTTCAACTCAAACAGAAATTGCAGGCTTGTAATGGCAAGGAAATTCTATGGTGTGCGCAGGAGGTGAGGTGTGATATGTATCTGAACACTTTGTTCAGGGAATGATTAATTACTCACCAGATGATGGCATTTTCCATTTTGTTCCAGGCATGAGTTTACGGGTGTGCATTCAATTCCATTCCCCCGAAATCCATCTTTACACTTGCAGTCATTCTGTCGTTTCAACAAAACACAGCAATTCATTAAAATGATTAAAATAGTGTGTATATTCTAGATGTGGTGAATTAGTCTCTGCGTTTCTGCGTAGCTCCATTAACTTCAGTGGAATGACACCAATTGACATCTCTGGAAGACCTTTATACCTGACGTCTAATGTACTTACTAAAAGTATTTGCTGCCAGAACACCACCACATAGGAGGGAGGGAGCACTGGGATAGGAGCTGAAGGGGACTGATTTGGATAGAGTATGCCATGTGGAAATAACCTTGTGGCTGGGATGGAGAGGAGAATTTGGGGAAGAAAACAGTGTAGGGAGAACTGACAGAGCAAAACGGGTGAGGACCAGTACTGAAGGTGAATGTGAGAGGACGTACCTGACCGGGCCCAATGTATATGCAGGTGGCGTTATCGTGGCACCCTGCTGCGGCAGGCAGCAGGCAGTTGTTGATGGCTGAGCAGTCCCTTCCATCGCCTGTCCATCCTGCCTGGCAAACGCATGTGTGCTCTCCTGGGCCCGTCTGAACGCACTCAGCCTGGGGGGCATGCAGAGGCATCTGTTCAGGACAGTTAGGTGGCACCTGACTTGAGGTGCAAGGCTTGTCTAAGCAACAGCGATGCCACTGTCTGGGGAAAGAGCTTGAAACTGCAGTGCAAATTGCGACTCTTCCTTCTGCAAGAGTTTCTGCCCAAACCTCTCTTAATTTTACCTACTTTTCTGTGGTGTCAGGCTCTGTGGGAAAAGCACATACTTACATTGATATTGCAGCCACCTGGGTTTAAAGCAGCACAAGGATCGATTTTGCTGCAGCTCATGCCATCTCCCTCATAGCCAGGTTTGCAAACACAGCTATAGAGACAAGTGAAGAGAGGCATTAAATGTGATAGGACAGCTGTAAAGTGAAGCGATTGTTTTCCACTGTAACCTGCTATTTATAGGCAGCTTAAAATTGCTAACCCTGGATTCATGATGCAAATAGTTTAAGTGCGTACATTATGTTTTTTTTTCCAAAATATTGACTGGGTTAATTAAATCAAATCAGGGATCCGTTCTCTGTGTATGAGACCGAGAATGAAATTAATTCCATGATGATGTGATCTTTGCAAAGGTGAGCTGGCATTGCTCTTTCTTTCAGGGACTCAGAAGATAGCTCTCTCCCTGAAATGCATGAGAATGAGCCCCCCTGTTTTACTGGGTTGTCCCCCCCCCCCCCCCACTCAAGTTACACAGCATCCCCCATTCTGCTTTCTGTGGTGACTCATTATGAATACACTGCGGCAAGAGGCAGAACTGCTGCATGTGAGAGTGAGCATGAGGCAAGTGTAAGGCAGCTGTAGCAGTAAACCAGGGGTTTGATACCAGTCCTGCCAGGATTGGAGAGCCTGTGCTGAAGTCTGTGGTGTTGTGGCATGAAAATCTTACTTGAGCTGACCAGAGTGAGCTATCTATCCCCAAACTGCTTGAGAGTTTAATTGTTGTTCAGCAAGGTTCAAACTCCTAATCCACCAAGGGGTGGTTAGAAATAAGTTCCCAAGAGCCTTTGTAGATGTTGGCAGGAAGGCGGCCTTCTGAACAAGGGTCGGATCTGTATGCATCTATCTTACCAGTGTTAAATATAAGGTACAGGATAGGGCATTGAGAACTCTTAATTACTACCTTGCAACTCAATTTTGATGCAGTGCATGTTTAAGCTTATTTGCTGCATAGCAGTATTCCAGTGGCTGATGTTTGTGTACTGCTACTAGGCACTATTTTGGTCAACAAATGAGGGAGAGCTGCAGCATCGTTAATTAGATGCAAGTTACTGACTTACCTCACTGCACCATCGCTAAGCTGACAGTCTGCATGTGCGTGGCAGAGCCATAGGGAGGGCTCACAGGGAATAACTTGCTTATCACAGAGTTTCCCTGTGTATCCACTTCTGCATGATCCAGGAAGACAGATCCCGTCGCTGTCTATTCGGTTATCACACTTCCCGTAAATGCAGAGGCACTCTACCAGAGATAAATTACAGTGTGCAATTCCATTAGTGGTAAAAGGCATCTATCCTTAACATTTCTTATGAATCGAGTCATCCATTTTTTCTAGAATCTAAACTTTGTATTTTTGTTGGAGGATTAATGTTTATTTATCATAGCCATGTCTTTTCAGGTGTGTTTCATGGGTAACTATATAAAATCTATTGTGTCTTTATAGTGGTCTTTCTATTTACGGATTTCAAAGTACTTCAGAGAAGGAGGAGCAAAATACCGTGTCCTAGGCTCTTAAGGCTGAAGTTACTTATATCTTTTGGCATACTTTCAGTGATATGGGAAGACTTTTAATACTTAGTCCACAATCCTACAAATTGCATAGTGCTGGGCTAGTACACAGAGCAGCCGCACAGACCTGCCAGCACTTTGCTGGGGCTGGGCTGATTAGTACTGCTGGGAGGCACAGCAGTGTGCCCAAAGGACATAGCAGGTAAGCCTTCTGCAATCCCAAGAAGTGCTAGTGGTGACAAGTTAAGGCAACATGTACTGCTTTGGCAGGACCAAAGCTTAGGCAATATCACCTTTTCTTATGGAATTGGTCTTTTGCTTTGTTCATGTACCTCTGAACCTTTGAGTGAGATGTGCTTCATGAATGACAGGCTGTTTCATAGCAAAAAAGACAAAATTATTTTGTAGATGAGGAATATATCTATGTTTGATGTTGTATATTCAGTAGACTCTCAAATGTAGTGTGCTTTGACATAGCAGGATTAAATCTGTCACTATATAGAAGATGACTGCTAGAACTATAAGTTATTCAATAGATCAGAAATTATTCAGTAAAGATGGTTATAACAGTTATATGTTATAACAGTTGTCCTAAGAACAATCTGTTTATACCTCTGTTTTTTCTTAGATTACATATATTTGTCATTGCAGGAAGAATGTGGTCTGTTGTAGGCAATACCAGATGGGAATGGAATAGCAAATATTTTCTTTTCAATTTCTTTTCAGGGAGACAGAAATGAAAAGAACAATAAATTAATATAAGGGAGGCTATGGCCCCTGCAAAAAGCCCAATTAAGTCACTTAGAAGGTTTTCACTGACTCTGGTCTTATGATGTATCCCTTTGAAATAAGAAATGAAAGTACCCCAGAGAGATCTTGCTCATCCTCTATAGAGACTCTTTAGTGAGCAGTTAATTCCTACCTTAGTGTCACTAGAGTCCAGAAGAAATATCCCGTGCTCTTGAGCTGAGAATGTATGGCTGTACTTACCTTTGTCACACTGAGGTCCGTATTTGCTGGAGTCGGAGCAGAACTGACAGTGTGAGCCTTGAAATGCCTTAGCACAAATGCAGGTCCCATTTCCATCCAGGCCATCCATGCACTGTGATATGGAAGAGAGGTGATTTCTGTGTATGAACTGAAATAATTCTTTATTCTTTCCCCTGAAAAAGAAACTATATTCCTGCCCATATTATGATTCTGACAGACGGCCAGGAAGAACCTCAGGTCTGAAAAAAGTGTTTCAGAGCAAAAGCTTTCCTCGTGCTTGTACTTTGCTGCTGTGTATTCTACTTTTCTTTGCAATTTTAAAGTGAGAATAGTGAGCTGAGTCATTACCCTGTGCTGTGCAAAGTAAAAGTATCAGAGTGGGTCACCCAGCCCCAGACTTGTCTGTGTGCTGGTGTTGGAGCCACAGAAACCTGCAGTTTGGACATCTGAGAGGAGACTGATTCATTTTCCCTCCTCTGTATCACTGAGCTTGAAATTCATGGCCATCACTGGACATAAATGGAAGGTGCAGGTCTTGTGGAGCCTAACATTCCTGTTGTGCAGAAGTGCTTCAGGGACTTTTGGGAGGCAGCCTGTCCTTCCTCCATGGGCCTGCAGGGTGCTGCTGGATGCTCTGCTTACCTGCCCGTTTCCTGAGCAGGGTTTGGAGAAACCTCCTGGACATGGACTGCAGTCAGGGCCAAAGAAGCCTTTGCAACACTTCGGTTCCTGTGAAGTAAAGCAAATATCCTCTTTTCTAGTGCCTTAGTGCGGAGGCAGTTCACGAAAGACAAGTCTCCATCGTGTTTTGGCCCTCTGGCAAAGGCCTGTAGGGCTAGCTGGCTTAAAAGGCTTGTGTTGAACCAGAACCACCTCTACAATGGCAACGTTAAAAGCAGAAGGGGTGTTGGCACCCCAGGAAGGGGATGCACAGACCACCAGATATTTCCCTGGTTCTTATCAGACTCATCAGTGTTAGAAATCCTCATTCTGCCACCAGTTACGAGGGTGCTTGTGTGTGCCTGCTCATATTGTGAGTGCTCTCGTGTTTGCCAGGAGGAGCACAGTGCAATTCAGAGGCAGGCAGTCTCCTTTGCATCTGACAACAGGAACTCGGAGATATGTTTTACCCCAGGGAGATGTTGTGAAAGCTAGACACGCTGCTTTGATCTTCCTCCTTCCCCTCTGCATCAGCGTGGGATTTAGCTGCTACGCAGCCCTAAATGTTTTTCTTGGCTGCATCTTTTGTTTTATTCATGAATTGGCTCCTTGATCCATTTATTTATCAAGAGCACAGAAAGTGTATTAGAATAAAATACTCATTTGCATTTGTGATTCAAGGGAAATAGGAATTAGCAAAAGGCTCTCAAAGCTTACGGATCTGTGGACTTCTCTGCTTGTTAGTTAATGGTGGTCATGAAATGCAGAAGCCTGTTGAGGAGCCCCAGGAGCCAGAAAGATGTAAGTACTTTTCAGGGACTAATGACTTCTGCAAGGACTAGACTTGCCAAGCAGAGCAAGTGGAGCATGGTTCTTGGGAGTGTTTCCCATTTATTGTTACCCAACATCATGTGAAGTCCTGGAACAGGAGGAGCTGGGACCAGGGGGGACCACGCTGACCTGTTCTTCATGGTTGAAGCTGTATGGGGCAATGACAACATCTGGGCTTGGAGCCTTATGTGAAAACTCCTGTGTTACAGAGTATGAGAGCATTGTTGCCAATGACATATGGCAGCTAAAAAAACTCACTGCAATTTTCCCGGTATTTTGCTCTAAGATTTACAGTAGGTCCTCTCAGCCCCCTGTAGAGGGTATGGAAACTACATGGACATCACACATCTCTCAACTCCAAAATGAAAGGTCACAATGCAAAAGACAATATTTTGGAAAACTTACATATTTTACCTTAAGGAACCATAACTCTATACCTTTATTGTTATATTGCAGGCTCTAGTACAGCCAGTTTTTTGAAAGGTTGGGCCTTCAATAATGCATCTGCGTTTTGAGAAAGGCTGGAACATGCACAGAATGAAAGCATTAGTATTTCTAAGCAACATACAGTTCAGTGATACAGTCTTAATATCATAACATTATTTAACTGAAGAACATAAAGCACCTTGCTAGTGTGTTGCATTTAAAAAATACTAAATTATATATTTTTTCATAACAGGAACTTTCTTTTCATTATTACTGAACAATGGCATATAGGACTAACTATCATTTAATTTTTATAACATGGGGAATAGAATTCCTGTGGTAGTTGGATGTCAGTTTTGTATGTGGAGAAGCATGCAGACAGATGAGCATCTCTTAGATGCAAAGCAGATGGAAGATTTTCAATGCTTTCTGAAGCTGCTTCTGCAGACAGTTGCTTCTGGGAGGATGCTTAATCAAAAGGAAATTTTTAACAGATGTGAGGTCTATTTTAAGTGTATCTCTCCTCTATTTTTTGTTTACTAACTCTCAAAGCATAATTGTAGCAGTTCTCATTCCTCATTTCTCTCTTCTGACAAAGCCTATCCAAAATAGATCTTACTTTACCTGAGAAAAGAGTCAGAGCTTCTATGAAGTCTATGAGGGATCTTGCAACAACAAACAAAATAATGCTGGATTTACCTGATGCTTCAAACATCGCTAGAAAGAGACTAAAGTACTGCCTATATTTGTATGTTTATGCAGTTTCTTGTATTTGTATCTGATTCTTTTGCTCACGATTGGAAAAGCAGTAATCAACGGTAGTCAACCCCTTCCCCCTATGCATTTTGTACAACTGGGGAATCTGTCAGGAAATGTCACTTACAATGGGCTTTGAATCCTGTGGACAGGTAGCCAATGCATGTGATGAACAAGTTGCACAGTTACCCTAGACAAAAGCAGTAAGGAATAGTCACTTGAAAATGCATTACACCGACTACTGAGATGCATACTTATGGATGATATACCCTGTAAATTTTAAGTACAGTTGTCCTATGACTATTAACTGTTACAGCATGGATCTGGAACCAAACAGCAGCACCAGGGCTATACCTGCTGGCTCTGATTTTTTCTGAGTGGTTGTTCATTTCCACCTTCCCCTTTTTATCTTCATTTGTCCTTCCCCCATTCCCTTCTTGTGAAGAACTGGAAGCTTCCTAGGCAGACGATAAACATGGGCATGAATGCACTGACATCCTTTGCTCAACCCAGTAGATTAACTGTGAGGGTCTAGTGCAGCCTGCACACTTAACTTCAATGAGAATTTTTTATTTCTTCCTAGGAAGATCACAGATTAGTTGAGTCTCACATACAGACAGTGTGAACAGAAATTTGTCTTGTGTATAGGTGGTGAAAAGAAAAATATTAATTGTTCCCATGTCCTAGATCTTGTACTGCACTGTGGTGCAGTGGTATATAGCTATTTTTATGTCCTCACCTTTTGGTTGCCTTTCCCCACTAGCTAATTTATCACCATGTGGTGGTGACAGAGACTGGTAATTACAACGCTGAGGAGATATAAGCTTGACATGCAATAACTTCAGAGAGGTTGAGCCTTTCAGAGCATGGATATAGAGTTTGTCAAAGGTAGGCTGGTTGTGACTGCTAATGTCTTGTGTTTCAATCAAGTTAGAATAAATATTAGAGCTGGTATCTGACCTGTCACTTCACTGTGTTTCGTAGTCATTGGACAAGTGATCATGAACCTGAATTATGGCATTTTCCCCACAGATATCACTGGAGCTGCAGGGAAAGAATCAGGTACTAGTTTGGATTTAGTAGGCCCTCATGTTGTACAGCACTTAAAGGAATAAAAGGACCAGACTTACAAAAGCATTTGTGCATCAAATAGTTGAGGTATCAATGCCACTACTATATTTTAAAGGTCTGTGGGTCAGTAGTGTTTTGACAAATACATCTGAGAGTTATAAAAGCTCTTTGATAAGCTGCACAGTCATGGCTGAAGCTGACTTAGGCTCTTACTTTCTGTTCTGTTTCTGAAAATCTCTGCAAGTGCCTCTTTGCTCCTTTAGAACTTACAAATCTGTCTGTCTGCTGTGGAAAATGTTTCCCTCTGTTGGCATTGCTCTCATTGCTGCTCACTGCCACTCAATGTCACCTACTCACTTGCTTTCTCCACCTGATGGGCTCAGCCATTGATGTGTACCTGCTCCCTCCTTTTCCTAAGGATGGGAGTCCAGTCTCTCCCCTCTGCCATGCTGCAGGGAGGGGACAGAGAAAAGCATCTGCACTTCCATGCAAGGTCAGATCTGCCCATTTTCAGCAGTAGATTAAGATACTGTCTTTGCACTGAAGTGACTGAACTATGGGTGTGTATATATATATATGTCAGGTCTGCCTGGGAGCGATGACCTCTGGGAGGAGGTGGAGCAGACAGCTGGGGACAGCTACTACTTCAGTGTTCAGAGCACCTCTTGTCAGAGGGCATCAGAACTGGCCATAGTCCACATATCAGACAGGTACTGAGGACCTGTTGTCTCTCCTGTGCTCTTTGTGACGCTATGAACAAGCACTGCTGTTGTTCAGCTAGGCTCAGGTACAGCTTTCGGCATGTGGCTATGGTTGCATGGATATGTATGTGTTAGCATAGTGGTTTTCATCTTTACAGATGTAAAGATCTTGTAGGCGTGGACACCTGCCAGTTCCTACAAGGTTTGTCTCTTTTAACTGGTACCACAAGTAATGTTTACAAGGTGGCATTATTGTTGTTATCTGAGAGTGATGAAGATGCACAGTGAAAAGTAAACAGCAAAGCCATTGCTCCCTTCTGGTGTTCTCCTTGGTAGTAGTGCTCTGCTTACAGCCTTGGATATTAAACTATATTTTAAACTATGTATGAAGCTTTCAAAGCTGAAAAAAGTGCCTAATTTCAGTTTGGGGAATAATTTTTGTGACAGATGCTCTTTGTTTTGTCTTAAAGTAATTTTTTTCAGTGTTGCTTTAGGCTTGATCAATGGCAGACATGGATTTTAGGTAGGTTCCTGGTAAAGAATTCAGATTACTGAAGTGTTCTGGGTGTTGATTGCTTTTTGTATCGGAGACTGTTGCTCGGCACTCTGACTGGTTTATGATTATATTGCACATACGGCACTTTGTAGTTACTGCCAGAGGTAATAGTTCTTTACTGCCAGCTCTTGTGTTTTTCTTCATTAAATTTTGATGCTGTCCAGCTCTGCTGGGCACCTCTTTCAAGGCTTTGGTTCTGGACTGTTGTAAGTTAAGATAGTAAATGTCTTGCGTTACTGTACCAGAACTGGCCCAGATATGTGCTTGAAAATGTCCAGAAACAGCATGTTGGAGCCACACTTACTGCAAACTAAAAACTCCGTCTGTTACTTGGTCTTCTTACCAGAAATAGTATCTGAATTGTACCAAGTGTAAAGGCCTGTATTGTGTTACCAAAATGAATGAGATATGTTGAAATTCAGTCTTTGAAATACGAAACAGTTTTGTAATTCCTAATTTGAAGAAAACTAAGGAAGCAGGGCCAAGGGAAATTGTGGCTTCTGAAAATAACATATTTGTAATGTATTAATATACACTTATTTTTATGTTAATATTTTAACTTGCTGGCTCCCTTCCCTGCATGTTTAGTACAAATGAAAATACTGATTTGGAGTACTTTCCTTGGGAACTTGACACTGCTTACCATGTACTTGTATGCACAGTTGGGATTCAGGAACTGGAGGAAAAAGTTTGACTGGAGACAACATATTTAAAAAGACATATTTGCAAAAACTAGATGCATAAAAGTGGTATAGGATATGCTCATTTGAGTTCCCTGTTTGCAAGTTATTTGTATCTGTGCAGTACTGCTTACTGCTAACCAGGTGACTGTATTTCATTGATATATTGATTGACAAAAACGCCCCATTTTTTTAAGGACAATATCAGAGAAAGTAGTAAAGAGAAAGCTAGAGTGCCTTGCATGGAGCAGTTACGAGCTATTGATTTATCATGATTCTCTTACCATTGCAACTTGACTTCTTGTCTCGTCACACCGATGCGGTAGAATTGGAACAATTGTGGGTGGGATGAGAACTCCTGCAAGAGTATAAATGCGTCCATTTTTTGCAACAATATCTGTTTCTTCTATTTCTTCTCCACTCACCAATACTTGTCCCTATGAAACAATACGTTGTTATTATTATTAATAAAATTTCCATAGCTTCTCAAATTCTGATAATCTAATTTCAAGAATTTCTAGTCATGCTTCTTAATTTGCTATCTATTTTTTATTATGCTTGTTTAATGCAAGAAGCATGCATATCTTGAACGTTTTCTTGAATATTGGTGCGTAGCGGTATCTAAAGATTTCCTTTTAATCAGCTCTGTTAGTCTGTGGAACTGATGACTAAAAGAATGAGAAGACTAATGGTGACTTCAGGCACTGATTTAAGCGGACATGGACATGTTTTGGTCCTGTCTCTGACAAAGTGGGGAAAAAGTGAGAATCTGGGATCTATACAAATTCACAGAAGGAAAAAAAAAAGAAACTCATGTATCTACTCATGCATTTATTCATGTGACTGCTTTGCCTTTACAAGAATGTTCATAGGCACATCTCTTGTCCAGAACAAAAGAGAGTTAACATAACAGATAATTTTGGTTTCACAGAAGTACTGACAAATTAACACCTTTAAAAATGTGTTCACTAGGTTTATCAGGATCAGAGACTATAATATTAAGGAGAATAAAAGAGTACCTATGCATACACTGAGAAGTGTTTAAAATAACAAAAATATGTAACAATGATTTAAAATATTTTAAATAGACTTTTTTTTTTTTTTTTTTTTTTTTTTTAAAACCAAAAAACTGGACTGGGGTTTATTATAAAAACCAAAAAACTGCAGACTGTCCTTATATACCAATCATTTGCTGTGCATCCTTTGTAATACTGATTTCTAACATTAGGTGGGAATGGCAAGTTGAAAATTTCTGCATTATTATAACAAGAAATTGCTCTGCTAATGTCTCCCCTCCTTCCTTTTTTATCCCCCCTGCATACAAACAGGTTTTCTAGATTAGAGTGAGCTGCTCACAGGTGAAAGCTGCCTTTGACTTACAGTGCTGGTCCTGTTAAAGTAAATGAACTGCTTCGCCATGCTTGTGATGTGCTCTATTGAGATGAGGCTGGCAACCTCTAGCTGAAACGAATATAAATTGAATGAAAGAAATGTAATATCATTATTCTTTTCAAATCCAGATGGATTAACAAGAAAGACCACCTTTCTCTTTAGGGTGAGCAAATGACCCTATTAGCAATATAGCCTTGCACTGACTAATCTGCTTGTGTAACAAGGTGACAGTGATTAAATTTTGACTGAGCTTTCTGGTCACTGCATGTGAAGAGCTTGTTGCCCAAAAGGATATTAATTTTTCTCCTTATTTTAGCAATCAGTCTAAGTAAAGTTATCACCTCTCCCTAAAAATAGCTCTGTTTGCATCCTTAGACTATTGTGATCCATGTGAAGGGACACGTGGATCTCATGCTTGTGCTCCCTGTGATCACGCTCTATGCTGGGAGTGACCTTGGCCTTGGATGCTGCAAATGGGGCCTTTCGCTAAGGATACGAGCACTTCCTTCCTTCCCCACAGCAGGGGCTGAGATGTGGATGAACTTCAGTCCCCTCTAGCCGTAGTTGCTGGTGGTGGTTCTGCTCTTTGTTTCCAGCCGAAAAAATTGGGGAAAATGGGACTTAATTAGAGGATGACAAAAGCACCTCTCTTTAATAAACAGGAGACGAATCTTAGCAAAATAGGCTCAGAGAGAGTTTGATGTCACTAGCAACAAGTAAGTTTTCTGCTACACATTCCTGCAGCCCTGCCAAGCTGACAGTATCTCCTGACAGTGATTCTTGCTCCACAGTGGGCTAAGGTAGCAGGCTCAGGTTCAGGATGACTATATATACATATATACAACTTTTTTTTTCCTCCGCTTGGGCTAAGTCCCAATCACCAAAAGGTATATTTTAAAGTGAAAATAGTTACTTGCATGTAACACACTTGTGTGATACAACACAGTTTTAATTTGCCACAGTTGGAGGACTAGCTCGAGCCTCTTAGCAGGGTTTTATTTTGATTAGTGGGATTGAGGTGAAAGGTTTGTGTTCTCCGTTAGTGACCTTTATGTGACTACCCTTAGCAAAGGCAGAGGCACAGCTGTGCTTTGCAGCCTTTCTGTGCAGCACTGAGTGGAGATTTTTCTTGGAAAACCTCTGCCTTCAGAGCAGTGAAGGGCTTGAAAATGCTCTTACAGTGCAGGTCAGTAAAACAGCTGCACTCACCTCAGTGTTGGAGACAATGTGGTATCGGACCAGCTCCAGCAACTTCCATGAACCCTGCCAAAGCAGAAATGAGGCTGTTTTAGCCCAAAATGAGTCACACAAACCCAACCTGACCTGCTGAGAGGACATGGGGATAAGAACAGTGTCATTGGCTGGTGCACCAGAAACCTCTGGGTGAGCAGTGGTGCTCGGCTCATGAAATGTGCCCTAACACTCCATGCCCTCACCCCTACGTCACCTTGTATTTTGGCAAGGGCCTTTCACAACCTGCATGTGTGTTGGGGGAGGCAGCAGGCATGCAGGGGACAGGATGCCAGTATCCACTTCCTGGGACCCCACCAGCGGTGTCTCCCAGCCAGTGGGGCCCTTGTGGCATCTGCTCCCCTTGACTGTTCCCAGCAAGGGTGACACTTTCCAGGACAGGGTCTGGGGATTTGCCATGCGGCTGGCTGGGCTGTGCTCTGTGGGCAAAAGCAGGGGAGTGGGGTTCAGGTGTGGGGGGATTGTCAGCACTGTATATGATGGGAGACCCCAAATCCTGTTCCTCTCTAGGCATTGTCTTGATCTTTAATTGTTAGAGATGGCTTAAGCCTTGATCATAGGAATTCTGCTTAGATGAACACTGGACAATGTATATATGCATCTGCTATATATCTATATAAATACTTGCTATCTGAGAAGGATTTGCATTATAGAAAGACTATACCTCTGCAGAAAGCAGGTAATCCAGATCCTCAGATTTCATGTTACTCAAAGCCTCATTACTTGGAACAAAGACTGTGTAAGGCTTGTTGTCCTGCTGTAAATCCATTCCCAGACCAGTTTTCTGTTTTGGTTTAAAAATAAAAGTGAAATTACATATTAATATTGAGGGACATCTGAAAACATTTGTATGGAATTGCTTTCTGGATCCTTACCTCTATCAAAGATGTAAATTGGCTGTATCTCCCATTATCCTGAAGTACTGACATTATGGTTTCCTGAAATAAGATGAAAGTAAGATTTATTTCAGCTGGGAACACAGAATAAATACAAATTCTTATAAGACACTTTTTGAATTACTGTATGAGTCTTGGTTGTTACAGATAGAATATATTAGGGTTTCTTTATTGTTTGGGTAGCTGGTGGTGTCTAGAAATGGCTGGAGATGGTAAGCACTCTTGTCCTGGTGTTATACTGACTTAGAGTTTGTAGAGTTGAAATCCTGTGTAGACACAGAACATACAAACTGTGTATATGGGGAAAGTGTTATTATCTCTTCATACCCAATAAAAACAGGCAGAGAAATAAAATATTTGCAAAAAACACCATATAAAGAAGTGAACTCTCAAGGAGTATGCTAAGCAGGTCCCCAAAAAGCACAAAACATTCCAAATTATCAGTTTTTATAATGGTAGTCATCTGGGGGGAGGACTGCTGCTTTGAATACAAGTTTTTCCTGATGTCTGTCCAGATGTCCCTCCTTTTGGTATGTTGTTCTGTGAGATGCACTGATCATGACTGCCAGTTTCCCAAGGAACCACTCAAATGCAGAGAGTACAACCAAATCCTTCAGGGACCAGCTTGACATAAGCACAAATGTTTGTTTGCTGTTGAAACTCTGTCATTACCTTTCACTTTAAATGTTGCTTCTCTGAGTTGACACACAATGGCTCAGTAGAGTTTGTCTAGCTGCTATCAGTCCATCCTCCTTTGCATTTAATCAGTGTGAAACTATTTTAAAAGAAAGTCTGACATTGCATGTATATAGCCTAAGATTCACCTCTTTGCTGCTTTCAAATGTTGGCTCCACGTTGTCCATGGCTTTGTCAATAATGTGCAAAATCCCATTGGAAGCAAAAATATTTCCATGCAAAATCTTTCCTTTCCTCCTTCCTCCTTGGATTCTAATTCTTAATTGATTATCCTGAAAGAAGCCAGGCAATGGATAGTGAGCTCTTTATTATGGAGTGACAACAGAGTGAGTATGCATACTGAATAGTGTCTAACACCCCCCTCCATTGCCAACACCTGGGCCATTTAAATCTGGGAAGGCTAAAGGTTGCTTCCAGTGCTTATCAAGGAAATGGAAAAAATGTCTTTGACTTTGGATCAGTATTGTGTTATTTTGTTCCAGGACAGAAAAGTTCAGAAGAGAGGAGGGGACAGACCCTGTGAGGAGAACAGTGTACCCAAAAGGGTTCTGATGACTGATAGTAATAAAAGTCTGCCAGGAAATGATTAAAAATGTGATTGTACTGAAAGGGTCAACTCCCATAATCTTCAGGGACTACAACTCATTTCCTTATATTATATGTATATTTAAAACAACAAAATGTTGCTGATTCTGCACTGTACTGAAGCCTGTAGGAAACTAACAGGCCTCAGACAGCAATGACATTTTCCTGTTGCAAATGGAGTGTATACTCAATAAAGAAATAAAATAGATGTCTCTTCTCAGATGCCACTGATCTACTGCGAAACATCAGAAGTACTTGATTTCAGGCTTCATACAGGCTTAAGTCATTAAGAGACATTTAATGGACCAAGAACAATCATGCTAGAGAATAAAATCTGGTTTATCAGCTGTAGAAAACAAATTTTTTAAACTGTGGGATCAGTCTGTCCTGATGTTTACTGACATAAAATAAGCTGGACTAGTGATACACTTCATATTTTTCATGAAAAATTGCCACGTGCATTTTATTTATGCTGAAGACTTCTATTTGCTGCATCGTGCAAAGGATGCTGATGCTCAGTGGCAGGTGGGATCTGCAGTGCAGCTGGTGCTTGCTCTGTGTGAGCAGTACACAGAGGTTTCCAGCAGAAACTCTGGGTTTCTCCCCTGCCCCTTTTTACTTCACCTAGGCCCTCTTAATGCCCCTCCCCCTTTTCTTGGTCATGCCTGCAGATTTAAGATTATTTAATTTTAGCAAATATTTTTAGAGTGGTCTGTGTTAGACCGCTATGTCACTCAGCGGTGATGCATTTCTAAAGGCAATTTTTGTTTTCACTGATTTTTAGTGGGAAGATGCTGGTGAGGTTTCAAGTTTCACTTGAACTCCTTGTAATGCATGGCCACAGCTGTGGGTTTTCATAATCCAGCAGCTACCTGCAACCTGATGTCTCACTGCAGAAAGACCTTTTGTACTCCTGGATGAGTGAAGAGAGTAGTATTCTTGCTGAGGTAGGCTGGAAGGCCACTTACCTTTTCTCCCTGGGATATCTCTCCTGATTTGCCAGTCAGTGTATATATTATATCAGTATTATTCAAGCTACTGGTATTCAACTGACCAGCAATTACGTGGAGTTTCACGAAGTACTGTGCTTTTTGTTTATTATTCAGAAGATCCTTTATCTAGAAGAGCAGAACAGAGATTTATTTCAACACAGGTTTAATCTAAAAGTAATCTCAGGGTGAATGCTTTTTTTTTTTCCTCCAGATGTTACATTCTGCAATGATTTTTTTCTTCTGAAGTGAGGTTGTAGGGTCAACCAAATGGAGGCCTCTCTTGGTTTCAGTTCAGGTCAGATTACACTGTTATGTCCCTGTGTGAGCCGTGTCTCCAGAGCTGTCCTGAGTTCAGGGGAAGGTACTGGATGTTGACCACTTGCCAATCAGGCCATTTTCTTTGTTCTTTTTGTAAACCCAATTTTTTTTTAATTGCCCTTACATGAAAGGTGACCTATAGGCCTCCTGCTGAAAATTCAGATCTTAATTCAGCCCCTGGCTCAACCAGGAGAAAAAAATCTTGATCACAGCCACATAAGACAATCCAAAACTTACTTGAAGCGTGACTGAATTCTATCCTGACTTGCCAAATTATTTTGTTTTTCTTTCAAGTAGGAAAAAGACAAACTCTGGCCCCTAGATTTAAATGTATCCCGAAGTGTACTAGTGCAAAAAGTTCTTCTGAATCTGTTGCATCAAAACACTTTGGACACAGATGAGATTTCTGAAGGAGCTAAATACCCCAGTTTAATACCCTGTCTGTTTACTTACATTTGTACCTTTGAGCCCTTTGTTTGTCGGTACAAGCACGGTAAATGGTCCCAGAGTACTCAGCGGCCATTCATAGACATTTTCTTAGAAGGAGAGAGGGGGAAAAAAAGTTTAATTGTGTATTGAAGAGCTCATTGGCAGAAGGGACTATGTAAGCTGTGCCAGGTATGAAAGGGCAGAATAAGAAAGAACACTATCTGTGATTATTAAATGTTAATTTAAGATTCTGCAATCCAAGTTTTTGAAAGGTGAGAGGCAGGTGGGATGTGAAATGCTGCTGCATATTTGACACAGGATGAGGCAAAATATTCAGAATGCTTCTGGCACCCTAAATTCCGTGGCATGCAAACCAGGGTTGTGGACATGAAACCAGCATTTCTTTGGAAATGTGTCTTTACAGGAAGATGGCCTCCTGCTTTAAATCAATTCTTCATGGGGTGAGGGATATGCTGCTGATAACCCACTGGTAGTACAAATATCAGCAAACTCATAGCTGGTAATAAAAGGTGATGCACTGAAAGTTAATTAAAGTTCATTTGCTACCCAGATGATATTTCTCTTTTCTAAACAGCAGTAGGAAATCACTGATTCTGTAGCTGAAGGCATCAAATATTTCTAATGTTCAGCTCTTTTTCCAGAGATTTAAAATCAGAGCTAAAACTATCTTTACAGTTGTTACACAGGTATGTCATACCAGAAAATATATCTCAAGATTAATATGCTGTTTTACAAAACAGTGTGGGCTATTCTGCTGTATATTCTTAGTTTTTGAAAGACATTTATGTGAAGTGAATGTATTGTAAAATAACCTGTGCGGTTAATGTGTCTTTGTAGCTTCTGGCTAGTAAATCAAATGGCACATTTATGTCCAAAACTAACCCAAAGAACATAAAATCTCTATTGTTGTTAAGAAATGGTGGCACCCAGCATGTCAGGCACTTTTCAGACATATAAGGAAAAACACAGAAAAACTGCAACTGAGCTTTCAGTGCTGAGGCAATAGATTTTGGTCTTCAGTGGTGAATGTGAAGGTCACTTCCAGACTTTGCCCTTGGCTAGCTATGAGTGATTCTTATTCTGTTTTGGTCAGGAATTCAACATCTTTATTTTAGTTGATGGGCTCAATGCAAAGGACCGAGAAAATTATATTAAACAGAAGGAAATTTTTCATATTTACAAAGTTAACTTGAAGATACAGCTTGATTCTGGCAGTGTTTGTGACCATGCAACAGAAAATGATGAAGACAGTTACGCTGTTCTCTTTGTGAGGTGGCTACAATAACTGTGAAAGGCTGGAAGCTGTGAGCCCTGACAGGGTCTCCACCTCATCTCTGCAGACAGTTTGGAAATATGGAATCCCCATAGGTGTGGCCAAGATGCTCTTGATCTTGAGGGTGATGGAGACCATGGGTGGGATCAGTCTCTTCACCGTGCCTCTCTCCTCTTTCCTGGTGAGAGCAATGCTACTCTGATGGCCAGGGGAAGAGGGACCAAGCTGAGAATGTTTTGGACTTCTGTGTGTGGTTCTAGATCAAATCTCAATTATCCAAATCAATGGGGGCAGGGAGGGAGAGGAAGTGGGATGATCCCACTTATCTCACCAAGGGACCACTGGTGATATCAAATGATGTGTGAGGGGTTGTAGAAAAGCATTTCTGCTTGGAAATTCTTGCAGATTGCATGGCATGGTGAGCAAAGGCAGCTTTAGGTGATCAGAGGGTGTCTGTGGGTAGGAGCGTGCATGCTGTGTCATGCTGTTAGTGGCACCTTCCTGCAGTGGGGAGCATTGAGGGAACACAGAGCAAGATCATTCCCCCCAGCAGGAGCCGACTGCTTGCATGTGGTCGCTTACCCATGAGTGATAAGGCAGATGTCAGCTTGCCTTGCCACCGTCCTCCCACTTCTGAATTCAGGTCTTGAAGACGCTCCATAATGTTTCCATAGCACACAAACCCGTTCCCCACAGAGCCACCCTGACACGTACACCTGTAAAGGAATCATCATTTTAGCTGTGGGCTGATGCCTCATGGTGTCATCGAGGCTCTTGCTAAAACATGCCAGGTGTTACCTCTTGCTTCTCTGAAGGCATTTTCAGGTAGCACCGATGCGTTTTAGTTTAATCTTTGCTTCTGCATGCTGTGATGTATGTCATTGTGTTGGGCAGTCTGGTGGCTGCTTGCCTGATGTGATGTCCTGTCAGCTGGGCTAGGACGCAGTGGCATCTGTCTGGCAGGAGCAATTTGAATGGGGGCTACATGGCACCTCTGGTTGTGGTGCAGCCTCTGGTCCCCAAATGTGGTTTGTGGAGCCCAGAAAGCCACCGAGCTTGCCTTTCTGTGGGCAACAAGAGGCTAGGGGGTAAATGTGTGGGGTGCCACCCTTGCATGGGGAAGGCAGTTGTGTGAAGCCACCACTTACTACGTGGGACCTAGCAGGATTAATGATAGTTACGTGTGAAAGGGGCAATGGCATCTCACCAATCCTTGTGATGATAGCTCTATGGGACTGGTAGGAAAAGGCAGGCAGGGGTGTCAGTCCTTTCAACAAAGTGGCTATTTGTTACCCTGCCCTTTAAGTAATACAACCATTTTGGGCAGTGGCACTTCATCTTTTTTTTCTGAAGCTGCTGAAGCATGAAATCTCACTTTTTTTCAGATGTATGCTTTATGCTGCTGCTGCTGTCTCTGTCTCTGCACTGGAAATAGCATCCCATCTGTAACACCCTGGATGTCCCCTGGGGACTCCGGACTGAGAGAGGTGCCAGTGAGGTACAGTTGACCCAGTCCTATGTATGTCCAAGGCAGGCTCAGGTCGTGGTGCCCACGAGAGTGACGGGCAATGCCTTGAGATAGGCTCCATGTCCTCACTGCCTTGGGATGAGCTGCATTCGAAGTAGCATGTTGCAGCCAAGGCAAAGTCTGAAGGAAGTTTATGGAAGAACAACCCCAAGTGTCAGTCTGACATTTTCTATCCTATGGAGGAGGGAACACACCTCATGAAAACTGAATCTTATGGCCGTGAAAGACCTCAGCATTGCAAGAGAGCTGGGGAAAATATTGTTAGTTGTCAACATGATTGACACATGCTTGCTATTAGGTGCTGACAGGTACAAACGGTTATGAGTTTCAAAGAGCAACTAGGACTTGCGTCTGCCTTGACCTTGTGTCAGCCTGACTGTTTACTGGGAGAGGTGGTTAGTACTTTCTAAAAAATCTGGACTCTAAGCCTGCATCAATGCAAGGGGCTGTCAATGCCTGCTGGTTTTGCCAATTCTTAGCTGTTGCAGTCTTCAGAAAATCAGCCTCTGCTTGGCTGCTCCTGAGAGACTGGCTGGTGGTGTCAGCTCAGTCTTTTACTCATCTTCAGTGCTAAAATTAAAATAGGTGCTTGTCAACATATAGTGTGCACAGAAAGAAACCCTAACTATATTGGGAGACTGAACAACTGTATGGTATGTGTTATCAAACATTAGCTTTTAATAGTGCTTTTCCTAATTAAGACTCCAGCATGTTCAGTATTTGTGTAAGGCCTATCCATAATGGTTCATCTCTATGGATATTTTTCTAAAGGCATCATTAGAGAAGGAACATTACTCCATGCAAGCAAAAGATGTTCTTTATATAACTAATGACCTAATCGTTTGCATGTGCTGGTTGTTGCAAACACACATCTGCCACTCACACCCCACAGTAGTATCAACCTGATGCCAAATCCTCTCCTGTTTCCCACGTATGGTCTCTACCGAGGCTGTTTCTTTGGTGATAGCATATTTGAAAATCCCCACAGTCCCTGCAGTCTGGGAGGCTGCATATAGAATCAGAAGGGTGCTGGGTTTTTGTCTGAGGCTCTTGTTTTGACTCCTGATCTTGGGTAAAAATAGTAGTCAAAAAGCATCTTATTTTTTTAGGATGTGATTCGGATGGTGAGCCCTCTTCTTTTTAAGGGGATCTCTTGGGCAGAGGGTATGACTGGAGCCCAGATGAAGGGTTTAGAGTTAGGAGCTGACTCCTTTCTTCTGATGGGGTAAATATTGCTGTATTGATGTACATAACATAGCCCCCTTCACTTCAGAGCAGAGAAGAAAAAACCAGAGGCTTCAAAGGAGCTGAGGATTAATTCAGTAGAAAAAAGAAACTACCCTTGAAATATTGCACAAGACAGATCAAGGTTTCAAAATAAACCCATTCTCTCTTTTTCAGCAAATGGTGTTAAACATAAATTATTTTTCTGGCTACCATTTCCAGGGGCACAGCAAACTGCGTAAATACCTACATAGTCTGAAACTTCTTTTGTGAGGACAATATTGCTTATAACTGAGTGGGTGTCCAGTAACAGTTTGGATTTGACTACCAAAGGAAAGCATTTAGCAACTGCAGATTAACACCTATTGCATGGGATTGAACCCTCCAACATGTCTGTCCCCTTACCTCTTCGGATGCAGTAATTTACTTTGTGTGCCCAGGCTCAGGAAGGACCAGCTGGGTGACTGACTACATCAGTTTTGTCTTAGCTTTGTCTGCAGTGTCTGGTTTGCAACTCACATATGACTTTATAGGCTTTGTTTTGAATGCACTGTGTACTGTACAGGCTGGGTACCTCTGAAAAGGAACAGCTTTACAACAGACCCTGCTAGACTGTTTAAACTTAGCTGTTTGATGCTTTCATAATACACTGCATGGACAGTATAAGCAGGACTGGAAAAGACAGAAACTGTCACTACTTCAGTTTACCCAGGAGAGGGAAGAGAACTGTATATCTCTGGAAAAGGGGAGCTCAGCTTTCTTCTTCATTTTACCTGAAACTTGTATAATAGAGTTTGGGATTATGAAGCTACTAATTTCTACACTGAAGAGATAGTCAGAGTAAAAATAAGAGTGAGATTAAAAAAGAAAATAACCAAGTTTAGCTAAGGGAAATCTAGTTCTGCTCACAAACCAGTAAGGTTATGGTCTAACTTGCAGTGTAATTCTGCACCAGTTGAAGCTTTGTAGCTTCTGGGCAAGGTTGAATGTAATTATTGTGCTGAAGCAATGCCATAGAAAGTGTCAGCAATCACTCAGGAAAGATCTATGTGGGAACAGAAAACAGACAATTTTGATTTTCCAGGAGGTTGTTATGTTCACAGACTAAATGCTTGTCTTTTCTACATCTTTGTCTAAGAGATTTATTCCTGTACAAATAATCTGATTCAGGATAAAGTGGAGGTGACTCTATATGGGGGAAGCTAACAACACAACTGTGTCTGTAATAAAACCTAACCCAAAAGAAATGCAGGTTTGTGGCCTCTGTTGCAGCTTTGTATTTTAGAAGAGTTAAAAAAATCTTGCCCAAACAAGCCCTCCCAAATACATTTCAAATCTGAGATGCAGCCAAAATACAGTGTCTGTCACTTACCAGAAACAATTTACTGTGCCCATATTTACCAATCAATGTTTTTCTTTGCAAAGTTCCACTTTCATAAATGGATTTTCCCAAGTTGGAAACTGTTCATAATAGTTTTTTTTTGTTTGTTTGTTTTTTCCCCCAAATATATAGTTTTAGTTTGATTTGAATTCCATTTCTTTCTTCTGTATTGTTTTTTGCCATTAAAGGTCACTGAATGAATGATGAGCAAAGCATTTGGATTGCTCCTACTCCCCATCACAAATTTTTAATTTTCCCATTCTAAAATTCTCAAAACTTCCTCAGCTGTTGAAAATTGAGTTGCAACAGCGAAACAGTGACAAATTAGGAAAGAAAGGTCTTGATTTATGTGATACGGAATTTTATTTTAACTTTCAATTTATGTAGTGCAGTATAGTAGTACATTATACTAAGTACAGTATAAGTATATATTAAGTCCAGTTTGAGTAGTATACTATGCTCTAGAAATGAACTAGGGGATATTCTAGATAAACTTGTTTGAAATGCACAACAGTTTACACTAAAATGATGTTGATATTACACTGTAAGAGAAAGCTGCACGATTAAGCAAGAACTGGCAATAAGAATACTCTCCTAAGTGAATGCTATATGATAAATAATTTGTTCCCAATTTACAACTAATGACCTGTCTTGTCTTTCACATTCCAACTCTCAGCTCCTGAAAGCTAACATTTCAGGGACACCTGTTTAAACCTAGTACTAGCCATCGCTGGGCTATAGAAACATGTAATCCAAATTGTTTGGCTTAAGATAGCTTTGTTAAGTGTTAAAACTGACTTTCCTCCTATCTTCTGTGTAGCAAATTTCTGTACAGGACAACAAACTCTGCCAGAGATTTTGGTTTCCACATGCTTGTCTCGAGGCTTTGGGGAATCTGCCGAGGTTGGTGTTGTTTTCACAGCATGGGGGGTCAGATTCCCTAATATTAGTATACCAAAAAGAGCCAGGGCTCCAGCGCTGTCCCATGATAATTAATGTCGACTAATTTTTTAGCATGCTGCCTGGCATGTTTCTGGCCCACACCAAGTAGCATTTTCCCAGGCAGTGCCCAGGCACAGCTGAAGGGGGTAGTGTGTGCCAGGGACCTCTGCCAAGAGGCAGTTACTCTGTTCTGGAAGAAGAGACTTTAGCTGTGAGCCAGACCATGCTGCTTGCCCTGAGGAACAGAAATGAAGTCTTGGTCCTTTTTCTTTACTAGTGTAGAAATGACCCCTGGGTGCTATAAAAATAAAACTTAGTAGGTATTAGCAATGGGACTGATGAAATCAAACACTATGCTAATTGGTTGACCTTAACCCCGTTAAATCTTGTAATTTGTCCTTGATAAAGAAACCATTAATGATAGCTTCAGGAGGTGTTCATCCACTAGATTTGTTTTAGCTGCCTGTTTACTAGGGGGAGGAGGGAGAAACTGGGTGAAAGCTTTAATAAGCAAAAAAGACTCACGTAATCTGTCCTGGTGCAACCATTGAGCATTTAGCTTTTTTATGGCAAGTATTGTTTGTTTCACAGATGTCTGTCATGCTGCATCCTTTCCCAGGTACAAAGTTGGTGTAATGCTCCTTGCATTCACAGTGGGACTAAATCAGAAGGAGAGGGGAGAGAAAAATTAGACATGGAAAAATTGTGGATTCCAGCATACTTTCTGGAACTTGGATCTAAAGACAGTGAGTTTCCAAAGCCTTAGGTAATCACCTGATGAGTTCAGATCCAAGTATAAAGCTTACCCATATTTATACAAATCCCTTCTAGGTTTTGTCCACTCCAGAAAACTGCTGACTCTCAGATAAATTTCCGTCAAATAAAGCCCTTTAGATTCAATTCTGTGACCAGAGAACATTTAAAACCTGTGTGGGTAGGCCAGATTTTTTACCTCTGTTCCCACAGTCCTCTGCTTCCCAAAATGAGTGCCAGTGCACATTACTAATAACCGAGGTGTATCAGCACTTATACGAACATGAACTGCAGGACGACCCTGGATGACTGACTCACTTTTTTGGCTCTTCAGGGTGTGCAGGCAAAACAAGCATGGTCTGCTTAAGCCTCTCTTTCTTGGTGGCCTGAGTTTTACACATGGAAACCTGAGCCAGTTCCTGACAGCATGAATAATATGCAGGCTTTATGTGGTGCCTCTCATTGTTAGTCCTCAAAAGCCTGAATTACTTCTTTCCTAAATACATTCACTAGGCATTGATCTGTGGTACCTGTGTAAGGAGCCTACTGGTCCTACAAGCCCCCTGTGGTCAGAGAGAGAAAATATAATTGAGAGAAGCTTAATTTCAGTGCCTTCATTTTGGGGAGGCCAAAATATTCTATGAAAAAGAACACTATCGCCATTCCCATTTTCAGAGGGGAAAGCACCACACAGATGCATAGAGAGGCAGGTAAAGGGTCACTGGCAGGGCTTATGCCAAAGGTAGGAGTAGAGCTTGGCCTCCCTGGGGCCTGTTTCTGTACCCTCATGGCTTCTTTTCAGAGGGAAAGCATTATTCTTTCCTAGGCAGTTGACATAAGAAATGTCTGGGACACCTGTTTGACACCAACCTTTCCTGGACCATCATATATGCAAACGGTAGACTGTGCAGGGCAATTCCCATATGTTGCTTGGCAGGGGTCTATAGGTAAGCAGACTTGACCGTCCCCTCTGTAACCTTCTTGACAGGTACATTTGTGCTGATTTGGTCCGAGGTAAATGCAGTCGGCGTTGGGATCGCAGACCTTTTCGGAGCATGGGTTGATAGCTTGTGAAAAAAGAAGTGAAGTAAACGAATTATTGCTCACGGTTCTAAAATTGAAGATGTGGATTTGCCAGAGCACCTCCATGCCAAACAAAGCCTGGGTAGACTAAACTTCTCATAACAGCCAAGTCTGAAGTATTGTGGCGGCATGAAGACAGAAGGGGAGGAATGTGTTTATACTAACATAGCAACCAACTGTTTGCTTTTGAACAGAAATGATCTCTTAACTTGGCAAATTGAGTTATAAACAGATTAAAACGTGTAATGTGCTCATTAAAATATCACAGCTATTTCCCTGTTCTCTGGTGGACTTTAACTAGAGAAGGTCAGGCAGGTGATACAAGGTCTGTACAAGCTTTAAGCACGTGTTAGATCAGTTGGAAAATATTTCTCAATACAATAGGCCTTTGCTGTTTTCTTTCCGGTAATTAAACAATATAATGTCATCCATTCAGCTGTATGGAAAAGTGGCCAGAAAGTGCTTTAGTTGAGTCTTCCACACTGCTGTAGTTTCAGGACTGGACTGGAAGCTCACTAGTTATTTCCATGAGCTCTTTTTTCAAGGCAATGTCACTGTTTGTCCTTGTTCATAGTCCAGTGGTGCTTGGAGAACACCCTCTAACACCTTTGTGTTCAGTTTAGGATATAGTCAAGCACATATTGTAGCTGGAATGTGGCAGGCCCTGGACTCACCTAAAAGGTGGTGCTGCTTCCCCTCTTCTCCTTTTCTTCCCCCTCAGCTGGGACTGAGAGAGTTGGCAGTGCTCAGCTTCACTCTTTCAAGCCTTCTCTTTTCTTCTGGTGTGAAATCATGCATGTACACACGTATTCACACGCTCAAATTGACTGTAAGTAATGCTGCCTCCAAGCAGAGTCTCGGGCAGTTGCTTCTGTCCTCACTTACCTGCTTAGCTGTGCTCGAGCTGTTTGTCATCTGCTTCCCAGCCAGCCAAATGTAAAAGACACTGGTGGAAGCCACAGATGACCCCAGTAGCTAAAGGTACTGGGACAGAGGAGCAACATCCACACAGCAGGCACCGATATTAAAACCCAAGAGAGGTAGGGATACTATCATCCTTATTCTCTCATGGTTGCTGCAATTTCTGTGTCTCTTGCTTGTTTATGCTGCCTACTAGAAGAATGTCACATTCCCTGGGGAATGACTTACTGATGTCTTGCTCTTGGATGGTGTTCAAGCCTATTCAGAGAGGATGACACCATAGTTAGGACCAAGAGGATTGAATGTAGATATTTCCAGACAGGATAAGAAGTATTGTACCTGTGGCCTGATCCAAGCCAACATTTACTAAATAGTGCTTCCAGCACCAGACACAATCATCTTTTTCATTGAAATTTATCAAGGAGGAAGAATTAGTGCTGTAAGACATACTGTAAGTAGAAGAAAGAAAATCTGGACTCCTGCAATATAGCTCATTCAAGAATTCAATTCCAAGTTGTCAATTTTTAGGTAGACATTTACTTCTAGCTGAGATACTATTAGTTTTGTTGCATGAAAAATAGGAAAGATAAAATAAGCTTTACTTGTCTGTAGAGCTGAGCCGCCATGTGATGGGTATTCAATAAATATAAGCCCTTGACTGCTGTTGTTGATAGTTATGGACGCAAATGATGAGGTTGAACTTTAGCAAGTAGAGGGACATGATAGGAATGGATTTGTAAGCACTGATTGACCCAGTATCCACACTTCAAGGGGGTTTACTAGCTTTAGTCTGATTGCACAGACTGAAGCTTGTTAGAAATTGGACTGATGTACTTCTGAAGCACATTTTAAGGTTTAGTTTAATCCTGAAGGAATCTAGATTGTGCACATGAGACTGCTTTGGGCTATGAAACCAAGAAAATTTAGATGGTGAGACATGGTTCCAAAGTGCACTCAATATCTGAAATATCACACCAATGATGCTGTATACAAAGAATTTGATGGACATGAAAATTACTCACCTTCACATTGTGTACCATCCCCATGGTAGTTGGGCAGACATGTGCATTGCAGTTGTCTTCCATCCTCACCCGAGGCAGTGCATCTGGAGTTTGGAGGGCAATCCAAGGCTTCGCATTCAGCTATCGCTGAGGGACAGAGTGTGACAGGTTAAGCTGCATCTGCACACTGCACAGGAGGCAGTGTGTTCTGCAGTATACTAGTTAAAAGTATGCCTGATCTAGGGACCATCGATCTCATCGCTATCAGCATTTTTCTAGCAATTGAAGTGGTGATGATGGTTATGGGAGCTCACACACAGGTGCGTATTTGGTTGCTCCAGAGTGGCTAACCTGAGATTAATTTTCTGTTTGTCCTTACCAATTCTAACCGTATCAGAGCTGTTGAATATATCTTATGTAGAAAACAGTCTACTTACGCTGATCACAGCTGAGCCCTTTGTATCCAGACAAGCAAGTGCATCTTCCATCCCCCGTAATTCCACTGTTGCATACTCCATGAACGCAGTTGCAAACTATATGGAGAGAGGGATTGGCTTTACTGAATGATAATGGTGTTCAGAAAGACATATTAGTGGTTACCCATAGCAAATAGCATCCTGGCCAACAGCCTTGACCCAAGTTCCCGAATTTATAGGCTTCCATTAATGAGAAGAATACCCACAGTTACATACATCAGTAAATAACATACTGATTTTTGTAGGCTATTAATAGCCTGTGGCCTGAAAATCTGCAGGATGCACACTATAAACACCCAAAATGATTTGTTGTTTATACCATAGAACTGGTAAAATTTGACATACAGTCTTGAGCCAAAATTGAATATAATGTGTAATATAGACTATTTTTATAACTGTTAACAAATTGCTCATTTTTGCTTCAGTTCTCTTTCTCTCTCTCAAACACTTCTAGAACAGATGAATTTTGTGACTTTTTTTCCCCCTAAACAGAATATATTTAGTTAAGAGGGTAGTTAATCACTGTGTAGGTCTCAGGCTTTTTTCTGTCCCTGTTCCTATATTCTGCCATTTCTCATTATAAACCTTGTGACAATATGAGCACAAGATGCTGTATTCAGAGTCCAGGCAACAATGGGACCCTTTTATAAGTGGGTTTTGAAGCCTTAAGTGTACTTAAAAAACTTAATAGTTATAACTGTTTCAATTATGGTTAATGATGTTTTTTAAAAAGGCCCTTTACAGTTACACTTGGCAAAGCCTCTAAGATGTAGAGTTATATTGGTGACTTGGTGTTTAAGCTGCAGTGATGTAGCATAACCTTCTTACCTTTACAAACATATCCCATGTTCGTGCAAATCACCTGCACTAAATAATCAGTAACATTCTGCCTATGTTAGTAGTCCTAACATAGAAAACAGAAGTGTCTAAGGTATTGCTGAAAAGCAGTTAGTCACAAATGTACGGTATCTATAGGTGCTTAGAAAACCGGGAGGAGCTCAAATATCTGAAAGCTGAAATGTAAAATGTTGCTTAAATGAACATGCAGTTGAATCCTCCATTAGCTTCTTGAAAAATAATTACGTTTACAATATTGAATTCATTCAAGTACCCTATTTTCATGAAAATGTTGGCTCAGTCACATTTCTGTGTATCAACACTGGCATCCAGTGGACAGCTGGTGGAAAAAGGGCCTTTGAGTCAGCAGTGATGTAGGATTAGTAGAAAGGCCGACACGGATTATTTAAATTGAGGCCATTTATGACTCTTTTTAGAAGTAACTAGAGGGATCTCGAAGGAAAAAAATAGTTTTACTTGGAGATAAACAACTATAACCACTTAAGAAATATACATTTCTTAGTATTATTTTTCAGGCAGTTTTCTGGTTTGTTAGTTTAATGCTTAGCAAGGGTCAGGAAGGTAAATAAAATACTAAAAATCGTTAAGAAACAGGCAAACCTGGAAAATATTATACAAAATTATACACTTTTAACACACATACATTTCAAATAGTGCACATAGCTCTGATCCCTCCCTCAGTGTCCTGCTTCTCCTAATGGAAGTATGGCCAACCAATGAAATCATCTACCAGCCAAAAACCAAAGCTAAACCAAACCTATCCTTTTACACACTTTTAACTGAATGATGGAGTTTCCTGGCACAGATTACTGTGGAGAGCAAAAGCAAATTGGACTCAGAGACAAGGTAGAGAATTTATGGGGGCTGGAGCGAGGACGAGCCTTTGAACACTACAGTTTGAATGCAATCTCTGGCTCCTTCTACTCTTTCCATAGATATCAACTATTGGCCTCCAATATGGATACTAGGCTAGAAGACTTTTGGCCTGATTCAGAATGGCCTTTTTTTTGACTCAGATGTGCTGATTTAAAAACCACATGAGTATTTCATGCCTTAATACAGATGGCCCAGATTGTGGATGTATTTAAAAACCACACCAAAATACTGTAAACCACTATAAATTATGCATCTGATATGTTCCTACCCAATATTTTAAGTACCATAACAATCTCCTGTAGTTAGATCAATTAAATGTAAATCCATAATTTAGGGTGAAAAGTAGATAACACAGTAACTGGTTAACAGGGAGGCATACCTGCAGGAACACACAGATGATTCCAATCCCTAATTTATTTGACTGTTTACTGTAATAAAGATATTCAAGGCAAGGTGAGGATATTTTTGTAGCAGTACACTGCAAGTATTGTCTGTACAGTCCTGGGCTGAATCCAGCCCCACTGTGAATGAGGAATTGAGTAACTGCCTATTTTCTTTTCTGATTGTGTTCCCTGAAGCAGACAGCAGCTCTTGATGGGAAACATTTAGACCCTCTACCTATTTCTCTGTGATTTCTCAGTGTCTGAATGCAGCTTTCACTCACCTTCTTTTCCCCATTTCAATAAAGAAACTTACCTGATGTGCAGTGAGGACCAAATAAATTCTCTTCAGCACATTTTTCACAGGCTGTCCCACCAAACCCTTTCTGTGAATTACAGAATGGAAATCAAAACTTAAGTTTCTCATCTATCTCTATACAGATAGAGATGTGCTTAGCAGCCTGTAAACCGCATCTTTAGCTACCAAAAGAAAATAACACAAAAGGTTCAATCAGCAAGTCAGAAATTACTACTGCAATCTAGAAAACATTGTCTTCTGAATTATTTTTCCCCTCTCTCTGCCTTTTTAAAAAAATCATTTAAAAATCTTACACTCCAAATCAGATGTTCTGAATATCAAGTTAGCAATAAAGAACAGTAATCAAGCCTAATGCCCAAATCATTCTTACAATTGTTAGGCTGTATTTTCTGACTGCTTCTCTCTGTTTCTTTTTTACACATCCCCAGATGTGCTTTTAATGTAATGGAAAGAGTAACCAGTAGAGGGGGAGGTAGAAAAGATTCAAGGATTTTTTTGAAAAATCTTTTTGGCTGAAGTTATTAAGCACTGCACATTGCACTCTCAACAAAGGAACATTATATTGAGAGTGTAGTCCCAAGCATAAGTACTTTCTAATTCAGGCAAAAAGTCAGAAATCACACTCCAAAAAATCACACTCTAAAAAATAGGGGAACTCAAACCACCTGTTTCAGGAAGGAAATGGAAGAACTTTTTAATAATTTCACCAGAACATGCTCAAGTAGAAATAATAGTGTGAAGATTAGTGCAATCCAAGCAAAAAGAGAACTTCAAGCAGATAATCTCTGCTGTTTCTGAAATATTTGCCTTTAATGTATTTATACAACTTAATATGCATTGTTTCTTAGCAGAGCTTATGTGCTGTTATGTTTTTTATTTAAAAGAAGGGACGTACCTGACAAGTGCACATTCCATCCCCAGTTATACCCTGGGAGCAGTGTCCTCTCCCGTTGCATGGTGACGCAGCTCCTCCCGGACATGCTAGAAATGACAATGTTTAAGCCATCAGTTGGCTTGCTCTAACCCTTATGCTCCCCTTGCACATTAGGGGTGACAACCTTGGAAGCTGTAGGGTTTTGGGCCAGAGAGGGAGCTCAAGTGATGGCTGCTGTTCTGCATCTGCCTGAATCTCTTCACTAGAATCTCAGCTTCAGCGGAGACTCACCATCACCATCTCTAGTCTGGGAACTTTAAGCTAGTGACTGTAATCAAAGGATTGCACAAAAAATAGTTTTCTTATTCTAAAGTACTGTACTGATTTGTTCCACCTCTATCCACAGACATTGTAAACTGTTACCTTTTTTGATACTAGTGGAGTTTCCCTGACCACTTTTGTATATTTATAGAACTCTGATGGATTGAAAATTTGCTGTCAGAATTATATTTGAAGTTTAAATAAGCCTTTTTCTTTTCCCTATAAACTGCATTTTCTTTATGTGATTTATGTCTTTTCCTTTTCCCCGCTATCTCCCATCAGACTGTGATATTTGATTCAAATGATCTTGGAAAGGAAGTCTGAGTATCACATAACCCACTTCTGTCCAATGTGCTGTGGTCACTAGTAAAACTTGTGTGCCACAGATGTGCTATGCTCTTCAGATCCTCTGGTGCTAATACCATGATTACAGGCAGTGGTATATCAGGTGAGACAGAGTCTGACCAAAAACCCCAGCCAGCAGGAGAGGGTAAGGAACAATGACTGTATTTCCAAATCAAAGCAGTTTAATTTTTGACTGTATTTTTTTTTGATATTCAAATTTTCACTGAAAGGCTGCCTATAAGACATGTGTATTACATTAGTTTTTAGTCAGATTATTCTAATAGTAGTTTTTTTTTCCCCTATAGGGTTGTCTTTTTTTTTTTTATAGTTGTGCAGTGTCTCTGTGGAAATGATTTATTAACTCCCTTCCATAAGCCCTTCCTTTCCGTAACTGGAGTTCCCACTAGGTACCATAATCCTGATTCAGGTGGGATCTAAATGTATCAAACTCCTACTGCACTCATAGATTCTCTGTTTTACCTTATGGATAGATTTATTGCTTATAAGGAGTCTCAGTTTTTTTCTGTGTGGGTGGAGATGGGCAGCACTGGATTTATGCTCCCATTGAGTAACTTAATCCTGATTTAGAGGGTTTAAGTGGTGCGGAAGTTTTCATGAAAATGAATTTGATTTGGACAGAGTGATGAGCAAATAAGTGAATGTGTATATGTGTACACCTAATATTAGTGAAGGCTTTGGCTTTATACCAATCTATTAATATTTCTTAATTTATTCCTTAATGTGAGGTCTGTTGGATCTGCGTAAGCTGCTTGTGAAAAACCAATAAAATTAAAGATGAAAAGTTTAGTGCCGTTTATCTCATGCGTGCTGAAATGAAAGGATTTATTAAGAATTGAGATGAAATAACCACAAATGAGGTAAAGTAATAAATATATATACTTTAATCTTTCAAGTGGCTTTTAGTGAATCTTGTTTTCTGGTTACTGTGTGATAGCTAAATCTCATCTTTAGGACTGACACAGGCGCAAACTGTTTAACATTTGCTCAGAATGGAAACAGTTTTACCTGCACTGATGCTTTTATTGAATGTACAAAGATAGAGAAAACTCAAAGTTTATAGTATAATTTCTAGGAAAGGACACTTTAAAATTCCTGACAAAACAGGTATTTTGCAGTTGGTATTCATTACATTTTCCCTTGTCTTCACTACCTCTTGTCTCTTGTTTTGATACCACCACCAAGGGACAGCTTTATCAGAAGTTTAGCGAATTGCTGTATCGTTGTATGAGTTTGGTCAGGCAGATGATGTGCTTGCCCCAGCTGGCAGGGCTGCAGGTGGCATCTCTGGGGCACTGGAGCAGTGCTGGCACAGTCACCTGCCATCAGCACAGTGCTGGGGAGAAGTGAGACCTTTGCTTTTGTTGAGAATGTTTTTCGAAAAGTAGTAAGAAAGAGATGCTTCTGATTAGCTTTTAGAGCTGTCAGAGTATGAAGGCCAAATCTTTATATCTAGGTCACAAGAGCTTAAATCTATTTGCTTTTTTTCTTCCTAGAGTTTAATTCAACATTTCTCAAGTGTTTACAAATGCAATCTCTTGGATTACTTCTCTTCACATGTGTCCCTACGGGCTGAAGCAGTGGGTAGAACTTGTAAAGGTGTATTTTTCACCGTATAATTTGATAGCATTAGGTTTACTATTTTTCCTCTTGGACTTTTTTTTTTTTTTTCCTTCTCACTTTTTTTTTTTTTTTTTTTTTTTTTAAATTCTTACAATGCTTTCTACTCAGTTGGTCATACCATGCACCTTTCAGTTGGTACCCAGGCTTTTCTTTGGAGCCATGCAAATATTTGCCCACAGTGGGAACCTGAGCTGGGGTAGGGAGTATCTCCTGATGAAGCCCATGTCATATCTGTGGTTAGATGATACTGGAAGTGTTAAAAGACTGTGATTGTTTCTCCTGGGCCTTTCCTCCCCAGTACTTTTCCCTTTTTCCTTGACATCTTTATACAGAGGGATGGGTGTGCAGCTGGTTGGCTTGGTGCACTTCATATTGAGGGAAGGCAACAAAACATCTTTCATTCACACTGTCTATTTCAGTGTGTGCTATCATTTAAGGATGTCAGAGTGCTATTTAAGACCTAATTTTGTCATTGCCATCAGATGTTAAATGTGAAGTAAACCCCTAGTCAGGGATTTTTCTCTGGCCTCAGGAAGGACTGTCTTTCCTACAAATATTTCAAGGCATACTGTATGCTCTTAGAGATTGAGATAATGCAAAGGGCTATTTTCTTCCTCCAAATGACAGCAGAAACAATGCTAAGACCTTGATTTTTTGCTTTTTGGGGCCAGGAAGTTTGTTCGAAGGAAGAGAGGGCTTCCTTGCCTCTGCAGCCTCCTGCCCGCAGTGGTGCAGACAGGAATCCAGCTTGGGGGCAGTGAGCTCTGCCCCTCTCTAGAAAGACCCATGCCTGTCGTGTTGCCTCCCAGAGCACCCTGAAGTCTGGGATGACAATCATATGTAGTGTTGCCTTCCTCCTACTCGGCACTTAGGCTGCATTTGGTGGAAAAATAGTAAATCACCACACAAGTGGTTATCTTCAGAAGACGACAGGACTGAATGCTATTTGCCTATCTTTTCTATAGAAGCAGCTGTAAGTTGGATTTGACTATTTTGCTCGAATAGATAAATGACTGGTATTTAAATCATAGCTGGACCACGCTAAAATAGCTTTTAAATCTATTTTGTGGAGATAAGGACTTCACAGACATTGAACCAGACCTTGACCCCCTTAACCGAAGGAGGAAATGCTCTGTCTGGGCAGGGAAACTTCCTCTGCGGGTCTTTATGCCCACGTCCGTCGCCTGAGATTTGATACATATGTGGAGATGCTGAAAGGCTTTTCCTGAGGAAGGGGCAACAGTAAGAAGAGGCACTCCAGATTTACCTCTGCTTCAGTAATGGCCTTTAGCATTTACTAGAGGTTCAAAAAACTTGGAGGGAAAAACTGTTTCAAATTGAGCTAAAGAAAAGATCCTCCTTGCATCAAAAAAGGAAGAATTAAAGAGATCTGGAAATATGGCAGATTCATATGAGGGTTTGGCCTAAACTGAAACTTAAACCTGCGGTTTGAAAATTTTAATTTTTAAAATCTGTTGTGGAGATTCTCCCAAGTGAAAAGTCATTTTGCAGGTATTGACTGAAATTATTTGTTTTGAAAATCTCAAACCAGAGGGGGTTCCCTGAGGTTTTTTTATATTTTCTATTTTTTTTTTCTTTTTAAATGAAGCTTTGTATGTGTGTTTTTCTCCAAATCTTCTAAGTTTTGGCTGAAAACTGATGTTTATTTCTACTCCTATAGTAGTAAGCTCTGAGGAGCAAACTTCTCATGACATTAGTTTCTGAAAATAAGAAAAATCACTGCTTTACTTCTACTCAAATTCTATCAAAAAAAAGAGCTTACCCATGCAGTCTGGACCCCAGTGTCCCTGGCAGCACTCAGGTTGTTCAAATTCCTTCATACAGTGATGTCGACATCCCGGAAAAGACAGTATATGTGTTTTAATTTCTAGATAATACCTGAGGAAAAGAAGTTAAAGCTGCTTTTAAGTACTCAAAAGCCTCCTGTGGGAAAAATGAGATTCTTAACCTCCTCTTCTCCTTTCAGTGTCAGACAAGAGCACTTTAAACTCAGTTGTATTGATCTGCCTTTTTTCTTCATTAAAACATATATTGCACATCAAGGTCTAAAAAGATCCTTGGAGCTATTTCTTTCGCATAGTATATATATATATATTTCATTTCTGTAAACTAAACCACATCAGTTTTCTCTATGTTTTGATTTGAAAAGGTATTTTAAAAATTATTTAATACTAAGAAAT